TTCTCCATAAAACCTTGCATCTCCCTTCTTCTCTTATGTTAAACTTTAAAAAAAAGGTCAGGGCCAAAAGCTTCTCTAAAAGAAAAGGTGTATTGAGCCAAATTCTAGCCAAAAAAGGACCAGGTCCAAGGGCATGAAGTCTAAACCACCAGCAGCAGGGCTAGGTAGAAAAAAAAACAAACATGTCCACTGTCCTAAAGCTGACGGGCTCGTTTATACATAATGTTTTAGAGAAGAAAGATGTAAGTTGTTTTGAAGAATTTACATTAGCTACAGATAAGGGGGCTTGGGAAAGGTGAACTGAAGGCAGTTCTAGGACAATCTATAAGGAAGAAATGTTTACTACTTTTGATTGTTTACATGCAACAGTCCTGAAAGTTCATGCACACGCAGAATGCAGTGGCAGCTAGTGGTTGCTACAGAAGTTGATTCAAAGCTCCAATGTACATTCAGGAATGTGAGCAATCTTCATTTATGTGGTCCCCAACTATTAGATGGTTAACTACTATTGTCCGTTTCTCTCACTTTCTGGCCTCACTGTAATTTAATTAGGACATCTCAAAACTTTTCCTTTCTCATTTACTTGAAGTCTTTTAAAATGTCACCTTGTTTGCAGGTCTTACCTATATATCCATGAAAAATACAATGCCTAATTACTTTCTCCTTTAGATCTGCTTTCCTTTTCTTCATACCATTTGTCACCATCTAAAATAATTTATAATTTTATTATTAGCTCCTATATTCTTCCTCCATCATTGAACTGTAGAAACTTTTGTTCCTCAGCATCCCATATTCACAGCCTAGACAGTGCCTAAAACATGATCAATCCTATCAGAGGTGGCACTGGGGATCCCTGAAAGGGACCATATCCATATAGAAAATATTAAAATTAATATCTTGACAGAAAAATATAAATCGTAGCATTTCAAATATGTAAGTAATGCAAGTTTGTATGAAAATTAGTCATGTTATTTTCATCTATTCTGGTAGTCACCTCCGCCACATGGAACCAGGGAATCTTACACAAATTTCAGAATTTCTTCTTCTGGGATTTTCAGAGAAACCAGAATTGCAGCTTCTGATATTTGGGCTTTTCCTCTCTATGTACCTGATCACTGTGTTTGGAAACCTACTCATCATCCTGGCCGTCAGCTCAGACTCCCATCTCCACACGCCCATGTACTTCTTCCTCTCCAACCTCTCCTTAGTGGACATCTGTTTCACCTCCACCACCGTTCCAAAGATGCTGCTGAACATCCAGACACAGAGCAAAGTCGTCACCTATGAGGCCTGCATCACCCAGATGTATTTTTTCACACTTTTTGCAGTGTTAGACGTCTTTCTCCTGACTGTGATGGCCTATGACCGGTATGTGGCCATCTGTCACCCCCTGCACTACATAGTCATCATGAACCCCCGACTCTGTGGACTGCTGGTTCTGGTGTCCTGGATCATGTGTATCCTGAATTCCTTGTTACAAAGCTTAATGGCATTGCGACTGTCCTTCTGTACAAACTTGGAAATCCCACACTTTTTCTGTGAACTCAATCAGATGGTCCAACTTGCCTGTTCTGACACCTTTCTTAATAACATGGTGATGTATTTTGCAGCTCTCCTGCTTGGTGGTGGTCCTTTTGCTGGGATCCTTTATTCATATTCCAAGATTGTTTCATGCATACGTGGAATCTCATCAGCTCAGGGGAAGTATAAAGCATTTTCTTCCTGTGCATCTCACCTCTCGGTTGTCTCTTTATTTTATTGTACTATGCTAGGTGTGTACCTCAGCTCTGCTGCTACCCACAGCACACACTCAAGTGCCACAGCCTCGGTGATGTACACCGTGGTCACTCCTATGCTGAATCCCTTCATCTACAGTCTGAGGAATAAAGACATCAAACAAGCTCTAAAAGCATTCTTTGTGAAGGAACCTACAAACAGGCCAATTGTCCTAAGACCGAAGAAGTGCCCATGATTGCAGAGGTCAAAGGCTCAGAATCAGGTAATGTAATTATTTTCAGACTATGAAGTAGGACTTGCTCTTTCTATATATTTCCTGGAATTTCTATTTCTTTAACCTCATCTGTTCTGTTCAATTTATGTAACTCAATTAATTCAGCTCTCTCTGATACCCAACAGCTTTCCCCATTGTTATTTTCCTACTTTCCCAAATTTATTAACCATGGATCAGAAATATTTGGAAATTCTCATTTACCTAATGAGACATCATCGATTGTTTTAAGAATAATTTTTCTGAAACTGCATATGTAGTACCAAATAATTCTTTTTGTTTTCCTAAAAGAATTGTCATGAGCAGTAGTACTCAAATGGGGAAGAAAAAAAAAACTATACTTGATGACCAAGGCAATTAATATAATTTTATAAGAGAGGAAACTCTGAGACCACTGTTTTTCACTTTTATGTTTGACATTCCTTTGTATATCACTATCTTAACTGCGAATGTAGACTAAAACATACTAGTGTGTTTTGTAGATGGTTACTGGGTTTTATTCTCCTCATGAGGATTCTGTTTTCCTCCAGCTTGGAGACCACAATGGCACTGACAAAATGATTATCAAATACATGTCTCCAAGAAGAGTCTTCACTGAAAGGTAAATTTTAATAAATAGATTGACCTAATACCACCTTAAAATCACAGGTGATTTCAACATGACAAAGCAAAATTTTAAATCACACATTGTACTACTATATTATTCCTCATGCTATACTTCTATTCACTGGTATATGGAGGAATGGTGCCCATGTGTAAATGGGGTTTATGTACATGGTTAAAGATTGGTTCATGTTTTTCTATATTTTATTGAATTATCTTTATGTTTCTGCTTGAAAACTTTCCATGCTGCATATAACATGACTTTTCATTACTGTAAAAAAAAAATGAATTTCCTCTTCTAAATTTTCCACTAGCACAGAAGGGATGGTGAACAATTGTCATCAGTATCGCCCATTATTTATCTCCATTATACTCAGGGTTTTATTCATCTTTTATGATCAAAGAATGACTCAAGAGAGAGCTTGCATTCCTGTCCAGTCATGTGAATTGGTCACCAGTTTTCTTACACACACATGTATCCTTTCATCCTCTCCTGGTTACCTGGAAATGAACACCAAAGAGAGTTTTAAATACAATTGTCTG